TAAAGTATAGCAACCTGTATCAGTTATATTTAGCACTATGACCAAAAGCGAAATTCACCTGCTACATACATCGTTTTTTTGTGGCAAACGACATTTCTCAGTTGCCCACGAAAAATTCTATTTTTTTAACATCGTTGGTCCCAAAATGTTTTATTTCCTGTAAAATGTATTGATGCATGAGAAACCAGTAGATACCACATACAATGAATTGCCGAAACTCGTAGTTATTGCTGAATGTCAACATTCACTGTTGTGGACTTACGAGGCCACGTTGAAGAAATTAGGCACTACGTGTGATTTTGTTTATAGAGTCAAATGCACTGTCAATGAACAAGGCTATGAAACTACGAACCGGTATCATCAGAAGCATAAATAAAGTAGTATCGTCGGAAACTGACAACAATAAAGGAAAATTAAACAATTCAGGTAAATATGTGAAACCGGAATGGAGGATGCATGGTGAATAAAATAGAAAGGGAACCTTTTGGCGATGTGGACAACATAATCACAATGCTTGTAGATTTAAAGATAGTAAATGTCATAAATGTTCTGAAATCGAAAAATTGCTACAGCTGTAAATATACCTTTAAGGCACACCATGTTGATACATGTACTATATCTGGTGAATCTTAATTGGACGATGTGCCTTACGGTATTTATAGTTGTTAATGTTGAAGGTTGTATAGAAATTAATATACAAGTTTTTGTAGGTATGTTTATGCTTGTGGGCGTCGTGAGCAATACTTTTCACACTTGCTCTCTTTCTCATGACTACTGTTGCGATTTATGGAACATTTGCATATATTATGAAGAGGTGGCTAATAATATTTTTTTCTAGGTATTGCTTTTCCTAATACAACACGTTAACTGTGGATCTAATCATGAATACCTTTAAAATATACTGTGAATGTAAAGCGAGAAGCAGAATATATATAAGTCAACACATAACTGTCTCCGGATCATCCATCATATGGAATTTATTAAAATGAAATTCACATTTTATAAACAAAATTAGTGTAAATACAAAGGAAATACAGCTTTTTAAGACTGCTCAGTGAACAAGCCGACTTAACTCGTTTTCAGGGGGTTCAATTTTGATTCAAAATCCCCACAAAAGCGGTTCTACTAGAGAGCACATTGGTGCCGAGTACCATAGAGATTCACCAGATTATTCTTGGGTGTACTTAGAATGGCTAGATTCCATGATAATACTTTATATGCAGTAAACAGGACTGACAATGCAAACCTTCTTGGGAACATACAGTGACCAGAAACATGTTTGTTTGCACTTTTTCATTATTACATCATTGACAATTTGTTTCACTTAATTACTAAGATAACAATTACAAGTCATTCCATTGTTATACTGCCTGCTACTTAGTGGCAGTTGATGTGTGTGTGTGAAGTAGAAACATTGTTTTAATTTGTAATTCGACGCTAAATGGCACTATCGCTAAATGGCACTATCGTTTACTCTATACCTAACTGTTAGGTAATCACACAAAATTGGCACCATACATAATAAGCAATGATTAAGCAAAGTTGTATTTTGTATTGTACAAAAATGCATGCCAACATAAAACAAAAAAGGATACCATCTGTTCACGGCGAGATCGTGCATAATGCGTGAAGTATGCGTAACAAAAGTTTTTTTACAAAAATTTAATGATTTGGTTTAAAACTGTAATTTCTCATTTTTTATAGCTCAATGTCGTAATACCGATCTTTGTGAACGGAATATTACATTGAGATATCATTACATCAACGGACATACACAAAAAATACTTGTCGAAAACCGTTTTGACGTCAGTGTAAGCATAACACGGGATCTCGAGTTAGACGGAAAATGAGTATATTCATAAATAATAAAGTGTATTATCTTATTATCTAGGACCAAACTACTTTTGTGTTGAATCCTGCTAAATGGCAATTAAGTTATAGCACCACTTACATTGAAAAGCAAAATAATGATCTATCACTCATGATCAAACATGGCAACTCTTATAACAAAAATCTACCGTGGTGTTGTGGTGCACATCGTCCTCAACCCTTTGAATGCCAGATATTTTTCCAGTCCTAAAGTTACATTTTGTAAAATTATACTAAATATCATAATTTTGTTACCATAAAGACAGTTTTGAATATTACTTTCAGTTGTTGATCAAAAGGTTTGTCAAATTTTATCAACATTTATGTGAAGAGAAGCAGATTATAAAATTGTGTAAATGGTGACGATAGTGTAACATGGCGATCAAAAGAAGTTTATTTGTATTTGTTCAGCCATATTGAATGTGGCATCTTGGGAAATAAATATCTAGACATATATTTCAACATAGATGGCGCTATATATCCCAGTTACCATAAAGTAAGATACAAGACTGCAGCATGTGCTATGTACTCTACCATCAACATATGCTGCAATAAATTGGTATTATATCTAAAAATGAGTTCAAACATTTTAAAATTTATTTTCAAACTACTCTGTGTATCAGAAATTTAATATATAACAGGCAAAATGCCTGGTCTGTTTAAAGATTTACTAAAAATATTTATATTATGTCATACATGATTATTAATAAAAACTAGAACACAATGTGTAAAATAATTGTAAAAACTAGTGTTTTAAAAACATTTGTACATCAAACATGTGTCTTACTTGAGCATTCCATTAAAACAAAAACAATTATAAAGAATGTAAAATACTGGTTAATGTTGCACTTCCAATTTTCCAATCATTACACGGACATAGGTTGAGCTTGAAGATGAGGAATAAAAAATTAACTGTAGAATATGAATTTAAGTGGGTTTCCTAAAATAAACTAGATTTGTAAGCAACAGACACTCACATAGTTTGGCTTTCTTTGTCCATGAATGTCAGTATACTGTGAGTATGTTTGTCTTAAAGGAAAAAAACCCTTGACAAATAATATATAATTTTTTTAGCTGAACGGCATCATTTGAACACATACATATTTTTATCATGTTGTGAAGTTTCACATAGTGGAAATGCAACTGTAAATAAGAATCTTAGTAATTCCCAAATATTTGTTTTTAAACACAGAAACTATCTATCACAAATAACATGTATTTTATTATCCTGACAAGTTGGCGTAGGTGGCGCTCTGGACTGCTGCGATATAAACACATATAAGTAGAATAAAAAATAAAAACTTACTGGATTACAAATTCCTATTCAATATGTAAATAAGGTAATGATGTCCCCTTCCTTTTCAAGATAGTTCCTATCTCTTATAATCATTTATGATTTAATTGATAGCCACTGAAATGTGTCAGAAACTATAAACTGTTTCATTTTTGCAGCTAACAATTTTCACGAATGAATTGTTTGAGGGCATTCATGGTAAAATTGTTTATGAAAGTCGCTGTGACTCCCTAGGACCCCAGTGAAAATCACTGCAACTCCCTAGGATTCCGGGGAAAGTCACTGTGACTCCCTACAACCCCAGTGAAAGTCACTGTACCTCCCTAGGACCACGGTGAAAGTCATTGCAACTCCCTAGGACCACAGTGAAAGTCGCTGCAACTCCCTAGGACCACAGTGAAAGTCACTGCAACTCCCTAGGACCCCAGTCAAAGTCACTGCAACTTCCTGAGACCCCAGTGAAAGTTACTGCAACTCCATAGGACACAGTAAAATTCACTGCAGCTCCCTAGGACCACAGTAAAAGTCACTGCAACTCCCTAGGACCCTGGTGAAAGTCACTGCAACTCCCTAGAACCCCAGTAAAAGTCACTGCAACTCCCTGGGTCCCAAGTGAAAGTCCCTGCAACTCCCTAGGACCCCAGCGAAAGTCGCTGCAACACCCTGGGACCCCAGTAAAAGTCATTGCAACTCCCTGGTACCCCAATGAAAGTCACTGCAACTCCCTAAGACCCCAGTGAAAGTTGCTGCAACACCCTGGGACCCCAGTAAAAGTCACTGCAACTCCCTGGGTCCCAAGTGAAAGTCACTGCAACTCCCTAGGACCCCAGTGAAAGTCGCTGCAACACTCTGGGACCCCAGTAAAAGTCACTGCAACTCCCTAGAACCACAGTGAAAGTCACTGCAACACCCTACAACCCCAGTGAAAGTCACTGCAACTCCCTAGGACCCTAGTGAAAGTCACTGCAACTCCCTAGGACCCCAGTGAAAGTCACAGCAACTCCCTGGGACCCCAGTAAAAGTCACTGCAACTCCCTGGGACCCCAGTAAAAGTCACTGCAACTCCCGAGGACCCTAGTGAAAGTCACTGCAACTCCCTAGGACCCTAGTGAAAGTTACTGCAACTCCCTGGGACCCCAGTAAAAGTCACTGCAACTCCATGGGACACCAGTGAAGTCACTGCAACTCCATGGGACACCAGTGAAGTCACTGCAACTCCCTAGAACCACAGTGAAAGTCACTGCAACACCCTACAACCCCAGTGAAAGTCACTGCAACTCCCTGGGACCCCAGTGAAAGTCACCGCAACTCCCTAGGACCCAGGTGAAAGTTACTGCAACTCCCTGGGACCCAAGTAAAAGTCACTGCAACTCCCTGGGACCCCAGTGAAGTCACTGTCACTCCCTAGGACCACAGTGAAAGTCACTGCAACTCCCTAGGACCACAGTGAAAGTCACTGCAACTCCCTAGGACCACAGTGAAAGTCACTGCAACTCCCTAGGACCACAGTGAAAGTCACATCGCATGTTTTTATTTAAAAGCTTATAAACTACAAACTAGAAGACTGATTGGAAAAGATCAATCCTGCATTCAGATCTTGAATACGATACACATGCAAATATGCCAAAATAATGAAATTAATAACATGATTGATATTCACAGCTGAAAAAACAAGATCTTGTATTCATGCAAATTAGTTATACATACTTCCATTAACAGATGACACACACACATACTCAAACAAGTGAGCAAACAGCAAAGCGGCAATACTGTCACCTTTCTGGTCTGCATAAGAGCTAATTAATGCTGCAAAAGTTTCTTCCAATATCTACAACTCTTATTTTATAACTTTACAAAGTCGAACTAAAGTACGATGAATTTGTTCAAAAGTTATTCTGTCTTGCGGGTGGTATTTCCAGCATTCTAACATTAATTCATGTATTTCATTTGGAGTACCATCTGGAGCTGACATTCTGTAACCTGCAATAGATCAGATAGAACTATCTCATTCCCAGAACTATCTCATTCACTGAACTATCTCATTCACTGAACTATCTCATTCACAGAACTATCTCATTCCCAGAACTATCTCATTCCCTGAACTATCTCATTCCCTGAACTATCTCATTCCCTGAACTATCTCATTCCCTGAACTATCTCATTCCCTGAACTATCTCATTCCCTGAACTATCTCATTCCCTGAACTATCTCATTCCCTGAACTATCTCATTCACTGAACTATCTCATGCACAGAACTATCTCATTCACTGAACTATCTCATGCACAGAACTATCTCATGCACAGAACTATCTCATTCACAGAACTATCTCATTCACAGAACTATCTCATTCACAGAACTATCTCATTCACAGAACTATCTCATTCACAGAACAATCTCAATAAAGGCATGAGGTGATTCTGATAAGAACCAGGTGACCCTAGCAAAACCTCCCTTAAACAACCATTTTCTGTCAGAGGAATGTTTTGGCAATGATGTGCTCCCATGAGTAAAGTTACAGTGCAATTCCCTCCCTCCATAGAGACATTTTTTTCTAGTTGTAGATCCTGGGCGTCAAGTCCTGATTCTTCAGATCAGCTAAGTCCTGGAACAGTCACTCTACTGACTAAGCTAAGCAAGCGACTGGTAAAGGAATGCACTGAGTTCATGTCATATACTCTCTAGTCAGTCACATAGCAAACATAGCAATCACACAAGATAATATTGATATGAGTATTAATTATTTCATATAAAGTGAACAGTGAGCAATAGGTATGACAGTATAAGTGTCTCCATCACGACCCAGTTGTCAATATACATATAGTAAATCACTTACCATTTTCTATTTTTTCTCTGGCAGTTGCATTATTCATTCCTGGGTATGGAATATTGCCACGTGAGAATATTTCCCACAAAAGGATACCATAGCTCCACACATCGCACTCTATTGTATATTCACCTATGAAAACAAAACATTGAAAAATGAGTGATCTGCAGAAAAAAAAATAAGGGGTTGACTGGAAGAAAATACTTTTAAAACAGAAAAAGCCTAACAAAAATTTGTCAAAAGCCTCTTGGAACAAAGTTACAGCAAAAATAATTTGCATAGTTATATTGGTTATTGAGATATCAGGAAAATGGTCAAATTTTTGCAAATTAGGTAATTAATATGCAAGCTTTCTATCATAAACTAATCATGTCAAAGGATAACAAAAGAGCACACACTGAAATCTGATAAGTGACAAGTAGCTTGTCGAATCTCTAAAAAAAATAATACTTTTAAGTTTTGTTACAAAAACAACAAATGTATTTTTATGACAGAAACCTAAGTTTAATGAACCATTTAACATACTAATATAACACATTATGTGAGGAGTTTTCTACAGTATTTAATATATTGTAATACCACCTCTGTCACCGTAACACCATGAGTTATAGCGTGACGCAATTTTGCAGTATTGCACTGGGTATTTTTATCCTACCATATTAGGAAACGCAAATTCCAAAAATGGAACGATTACGCACATAAGCATGTGTCGGTCGATACACCCGCTGTACTGTCTTCATACATACTTTTCGGTATCCTCATAATAACCTCATATTATCAGCCTTTCAAAACAATATTATTTTTTATGTATCCCTGCATATTTTTACAGATTAAAAGCATGCCAAGGCACAAAATGTGGTATTATATATATTCTGAAAATTTGTGAAAATGAAAACAAATATTATAAATTGAATTATCTCAAATATTTTGATAGAATGGTCAGAAGAATTTAATCCCTTGTTTGTGTTTTTCATTTTAAATTTGAGACTACCAATGACAGGATTTATTCCATTTTTATGTTAAAGTAAAAATATTATACAAGTTATCTATCAACATACCATAATTCATAGCTTCTGGTGCCGTCCATTTGATTGGAATTTGCTTCATTCCTCCAGACACCATATATAAGCCATCTTCTTCCTGCCTTGACATACCAAAGTCACTGATTTTCACAATATTATTGTCACCAACAAGACAGTTCCTTGCTGCTAAGTCCCTGGAGAGAAATGATAAATTGTAATGCCCCATTAAAAAATAATGGACATTGTTACATTCTTCAATTACAAACTACACCTATTTAAACCATATATTCACCAATAGCTTAAAAAATATAAGAGCCTGCTACACAAAAATTTAGCTAAACAGAGATTAAATTGATACTGATAATATTTAGAGTTTGAGAAAGAGTTACCAAAATAACTGACGACAAAAAAATGTTAACGACAATGACAACAATAACATCGTACGGTTTTGTATTCTGAAACTCCATTACAGTTATAGATGTAAAATAATAATGATTTACTCTGAATAAGTCAAGACTTGACATGACGCAGCCTAACTATTATAACATTTTGTTTTAATTGCAAGTATGGGAGCAATGATACATATTTTCAAGAAGGAAATGCAGTCACTCAAAATGTGTTGCAGATTAAAGGCTCAGCTTGCAAGTTTTTTTTGTTATGTATCTGATTTGAATAAAATGCATCCATGAATGACTAAAATCTAGTTCCACAATGGCTTGATTTTCATTGCATTTTTATGGTATTTATACTTTGTGTCAGCCCATTTTCAATCAAAACTATTTGTTTATGCTACGAGTCAGCCATCTTGAATCAAAACTACTGTATTTATGCTATGAGTCAGTCATCTTGAATCAAAACTACTGTATTTATGTTATGAGTCAGCCATCTTGAATTAAAAATACTGTATTTATGCTATGAGTCAGCCATCTTGAATTAAAAATACTGTATTTATGCTATGAGTCAGCCATCTTGAATTAAAAATACTGTATTTATGCTATGAGTCAGCCATCTTGAATCAAAACTACTGTATTTATGCTATGAGTCAGCCATCTTGAATCAAAACTACTGTATTTATGCTACAAGTCAGCCATCTTGAATCAAAACTACTGTATTTATGCTATGAGTCAGCCAGCCATCTTGAATCAAAACTACTGTATTTATGCTATGATTCAGCCATCTTGAATCAAAACTACTATATTTATGCTACAAGTCAGCCATCTTGAATCAAAACTACTGTATTTATGCTATGAGTCAGCCATCTTGAATCAAAACTACTGTATTTATGCTATGAGTCAGCCATCTTGAATTAAAAATACTGTATTTATGCTATGAGTCAGCCATCTTGAATCAAAACTACTATATTTATGCTACAAGTCAGCCATCTTGAATCAAAACTATCGTATTAGTCTACAAGTCAGCCATCTTGAATCAAAACTACTGTATTTATGCTATGTGTCAGCACATCTTGAATCAAAACTACTGTAATTATGCTATGTGTCAGCACATCTTGAATCAAAACTACTGTATTTATGCTATGTGTCAGCACATCTTGAATCAAAACTACTGTATTTATGTCAGAGATATGGCTTACCACGTTCTTCAATTTTGAATCCAATCTATAAAACAAAATGTAGTGCATCAAGGTACCATGACATTTAATGTTTGTACCAAGTTCACACAAAATAATTCAATCGAGCTCCAAAATGTTTCAGATATTTAGAATTTGATAGTGAAAAGTGTTATGTGCACATGTATGGCAGGATGTATGATATTTTATGTTTGAAGTGAAATGGCTGACATTTTGTATCTGATTTGTTAAACAATATGACATGACAATAGCTGACATTAATGTATGTAGAACATCTGACTTAAATCCTTAAATGACGACCAAGATCTAGTCCCAAAATTTCAGAAATGTTGAATTTTCATGCATTTTTAGCACTAAAATGGCTGCTACAGTGATCTTGAAACCATATATAAATACATATTTGTGACATAAAACGTGATGTCCAAGTTTGAAAATGTCCGAGGTATAAAAGGACGCATACATAGATGGAGGTGAATCTACAACTCCCGACTGACTCCAGCTACAGTGAAGACTAATAATTATTGATACTATTCTTACCTGTGAATACATTTTTTACTAGAAAGGTAAGCCATACCAGCTGCCGCATTTTCACTCATTCTTACCAATTGTGGGATTGACATTGAACCACCTTGATTCCTCAGAAAATTCAAGAAATCACCCCCTGTGGAGAAAATTTGAAACATAACTATTTGCTAGAAGGATTAACTGCATGCATTTACTGATGCCATGCAAGAAAATTGAGCACAGAAAATTTCATCTCAAAAGGAATAGCATGGAAGTAAAAGGAATGCTTCTCAAAGTGCCCAAAGAAAGATATTTCACAAACAGGGCTTCATTCCCACTTATGCAAATATATAAAACATCACTCCCAGAATAAGTTAAAAACAAAAAATAATGCTGTGTTACAAACTAACAATGTGGAAACTTCTCTTTGCATGCAATTGAGTATAAAAGACCAGAAACAATGCACTAACAATATTTAAACATTTTGTCAGAATACAGAACTCTGACCATGCATAGTATCAATGCAATGGGACTTGCTGTTTTCAACAAGAATTAAAAATATCATTTTTCACCATAAATGATTGCGGTTTTTAACAAGAAGTTGAAAATATCACTTTTTACCAAAAATGACAAAAATAATCACCAAAATTAGAAAATTAAAGATATCATCACAAAATGAACAAATCTGATAGAGGTCCACATGTAGTACCTATATATGTAATGTCAAAGCAATCTGACTTACAGTTTTTAACAAAGTGTCGAAAATATCACTTTTTACCAAAAATGACAAAAATATTCACCAAAATTAGAGAATTGAAGATATCATCACAAAATGAACAAATCTGAAAAAGGTCTACATGTAGTATCTATATTTGTAATATCAAAGCAATTGAACTATTGGTTTTTAACAAGAAGTCAAAAATATCACTTTTTACCAAAAATGACAAAAATAATCACCAAAATTAGAAAATTAAAGATATCATTACAAAATGAACAAATCTGAGAGAAGTACACATGTAGTACCTATATATGTAATATCAAAGCAATTGGACTTGCGGTTTTTAACAAGAAGTTGAAAATATCATTTTTTACCAAAAATTACAAAAATATTCACCAAAATTAGAGAATTGAAGATATCATCACAAAATGAACAAATCTGAAAAAGGTCTACATGTAGTATCTATATTTGTAATATCAAAGCAATTGAACTATTGGTTTTTAACAAGAAGTCAAAAATATCACTTTTTACCAAAAATTACAAAAATATTCACCAAAATTAGAGAATTGAAGATATGATCATGAAATGAACAAATCTGAGAGAGGTCTACCCAAGGTACATATACACCAAGTATCAAAGCATTCAGCTTGTAGTTTTCAAGAGAAGTCGAACAAGCAGCCTCTCACATTTCATTAAAGAACAGAAGA